ATGCTGTATTACTATTTGAATTGTAAACTTCAGAAATTAGTAGATTCTAAACTTGTTTGTTATAGACTTCTATATAAGTGTGATCAGAACCTGATTAGATATCTTTACATATATTCAGAACATTAAATAACCTCTATACTCTTGCATTCTATAGTATTTCTATTCTATACTGGCAAAAGGTTTTGATTCTGGTAAAGCTAATCCTTTATCACAATCTGTCTATATATTAATTACTTTCTCACTATTCCAACTTTAGTTAAATGATTATCCATTCAATCAAGTATCTGTATTTTTAATTTAGATAAGTACTAATTTGCACAGTCTGATGATCACCTTTTCAAACAAATACTCCACAAGTTAGATGTAATAATATTAGTATTGCCTAAACTAGAAATATAAAAATATTAATGCTGCTTTATCTCAAAGAACTTATTTATATAATCTTTATAGCTATAGTTTTTTATAACACTACAATTATATATAATATCCACTCTTTATATTTGAGTTTTCTTTTAAAAATTTCTATTTAACATCATACTTGCACTTGGACTTAGCCACAAAGCTTTGCATTCAATTTGATCTTTAAAGGTTACAAAAACAAATTAATAATTTGTCTCTAGTCTAACTTGAACTGTCAACCTTGTCTGTAGAAGTTTAAGAGCTTAACTATTAAGCTATGAGACCTAAACCCACAAAATTATTTATTATTAAAATTATTAATTACTTTTTTTTTCTTTGACAATCCTGTTTATTTCATTATAGAAACAGAACTTTATTCTTAAAATGTATAAAATCTAGATCTATAATGTTCTGACCAAAATATAAACTCACACAGTTTACCTTGCAAGTGCTGTAGCACCCACTTGCAATCAGGGCGAACCATTAAACCACTGTGTTATACTTACACTAAAATTTCATTGGCCAAAACAAACCACAGATCATCAACACGTTTTTTGATCAAAAAATTAACTTTTGACATTAGGATAAGGGTGAGCACTAGAATAGTAGTAAAAAAGATGATGCATATAACAAAATTTGCAAGGAATTTTTTTGCTAAGATACAGGAAATAGTTTTGTAGTCGAAATTTTGAGTTATGGACGATTTTTTTAAAAAACCAGCAGTTTGTTTTGTTTTCACATTACACCTGATCCTGTGTCGTGATTGGTTTAAAATCATGTGTCCACAAACATTTTATGCGTATAATTCTAAAAAATCAAATCAGTGGATACATAATATAGTTAAGTTCATTTTGAGCATTAGCTATATAATAAGCATACAAATTCACGATATTTGATACGTTTTTTACAATATATCAGATAATAACTTTATTTCTTAAGGATGTTAAGAACGAATTAAAGTCGATCAATTATTTTGAAGAAATCGTATAGCATTTATTGTTCTAATCTGGGAAGAGATTATTATAAGAGAACTTGTAAGTCGGGAGGAATTATTTGGGATTCAAGTTACAGTACATATTAAGTAATAATTTAATTTTAAGTATCAGGTTTTTATTGACTTTAAAGAATATAATTTTTATAAGTAGCAAAATGGTACTTTATTTATAATAGAAAAATTCTTAATACCGATATGATACTCTTGAGAACAATCTTTTAACATTAATATTAAATAAAAGTTTTTGGTAACATGCGACAATAAAGTGAATACTAACAAATGAAATAATAAATTTTGATAGAATTAAAGCCTTTAAATATAATAATATCGACAGTCATAATAATATCGACAGTCTATAATAATATCAGCAGTCAATAATAATATAGGCAGCCACAATAATTTCGGCAGTTGATAATAATTCCGGCAACCCAAAACAATTTAGACACTTAACATTTTGACCAAAAAAATTTCTCCATGCCGTCTGCCGTAAATCATCCCTATTTTAGACACCCATGTATACGCGTGAGAACACCTTTACTACTATCCATAAACAGTGTCCGTAGATTTGGCCAAATTATCATCAAGTGCTCAACATAAAAGAAGTACAATAATCTTAATGCACAAAATTTATCGGTCCAATAATAATTGTTGCTGCTGGTATTGAAAGTTTATCCTGATTTTCTTTTACATTGGGGATTTATGACAAACGAGTGTGGATTCTAGTAAGTCTAGTAGAGTTAACATCAGCCACGACAATAATAACCAAAAAACATACTGATGAATTTCGTCCCTGGTGTTTCTACTTTAAATAAGGTCGTTTGTAGTTAAAATTTATTTTTTTGTTTTCGAATTCGTGGGGGGGAGAAAATAAAAACAAAACATATATTGTACCGAAAAATCCCGATCACCGTGCCGACCATTATAATGACTAAGGGTGTTCTCAAGCACCTTACTCAATGGATCAGAGGCAAATTTTTAAATAGTCGGATATTGAATAAATTAACCGAGTTATCATTTCGATGAACAAATCAGCGAGATACAAGCTATCTTTTTTCTTCAAAAATTTACCATTGATAAAGGTCGCCCAAGCATTACTTTTAATTTTTTACATATAAAAAATAATAAACAATGAATTCTCAACAAATTTTCTAACCGATATGAAAAATAGTTACTTCTCGAAGCTTTTAAAACAAATAATTGATTCCTTGATCTTAACGTAATAAATACAACCCATCTTTTAACCTTTAATCAAACCGTAATGAATACTGCTATTCATTTTTTGTTCAATAAAATTGAAATATTAATATTAATATTTGCAAGAAAAAATTTTTATTTCTTATTGCTGTAATGCAACTTTCGCTAATGATTCCATGAATAGATTCTGTTGCTGTTGCAACAAAAGATTTAAATTGATAAAATAATTAAAGGAGCAACCGACGCAGCCGAAGTTAAAGTCTCTGCAGTCGGTTGAGTAGAAATTTTTTTAGTGTTTTAGATGGCATAACGTAGATCACGAAAGACAGAAAGAGTACTCAAGCATTGAATTCTATAAATGTCGTCATTGACTGAGATGCTTGAGTGTCATCATGATCATTATTTAATTGATCGATTGAGATGCTTGAGAACACCTAATTTGTCATTTCTATTTGTTAATTTTAGGGGGAGCTCAGTAGGGATGTTAACTGTCTGATCTGGTCCAGTCTGGTCTATTTTGGTCCAGGTCTGGTCTGGTCTATTATGGTCTTCATTCTTAAGACTTTGTTAATCCAGACTGGTCTATTTTAGTCCAGGTCAGGTCTGGTCTATTATGGTCTTCATTCTTAAGACTTTGGTTGTTCTCAAGCAGCTCCCTCGATGTAATTTGCAAGTGATCGAGATGCTGCTCAATCATTTCGATTAATCGAAATTAATTGAAGTGATCCCTGTAACAATTTTGCCGAAAATTCATTGTGCGAAATATGAATTTTAAATTTCAGCCAATCGGAGTAACTTTATGAAAAAAAAGATGGTTGTTAGCTCCAGGTTTTTTTGACCGAAATGATTTATTTTCAGCCAATCGGATCATTTTATCGATAATAGAGGGAGGTGCTTGAGAACAACCTTTGTTAATCCAGACCAGTCCAGACTAGTCCGGTCTTAAGACTTAGAGCAGACCAATTTTTTTCGAGTTTAGACCGGTCTTAAGACTATAAATAACGTTAGAATTAACAATGCTCTAAATTGACATTCGTTTGTTTAGCACTTGAAATTTTATTGATAACTTAATCGTCCAGATTTGTTATAGATCCTATTATCTGCTTAATCAGACAAAAAAATTATCAATTGTGTTTATTCAAATATGTTCTAATAAAAGTCTTTATTCGACTAATCAGAATTATTCGAATAAATTCAAATAGATTCGAATAAACTTCATTCAATCTAAGGCACTAATTATAACATATATATTTTTTTAGGAGTATTGCTAAATTTCACCGGGGTGCTATATCTCAAAAACGTACTATTTAACACACCTCAGGGGTACTACGTAAGTCCATAACCTTATGCTAACTAAAATTGGGATCCTAATATCTAACCCTAAGCTTCATCTAAAATTACACCCTAATCCTAAATTTTAATAATAATTAGGGGAGGGAATTTCCATTTAAATGTATTTTTAAATATTAAAAATTAACTTGTGGTTATTAAATATCAGTATTTATTTCAAATTCGAAATTTTAGTAACTCACCCTATATAATAAAATCCAACAATATCAGATTAAATATATAGTCTATTGATATAGCATCTTAACATATGTGCATCATATTACATAGCTGGATTAACTCGCATACATTTTTTTTTTTTTGAAAAAATTTTTTTTTTCATTCAGATCAATAACAATTATTATTATTTTTTTATTTATTAAAAATTAAACATCATCACCAAGACCTTCCAACCTAAATATTTAATAAATTAATTTTTAAAGAATAAATTAAACTAATCAATATAAACAAAAATTGCTTACCACTTTTTGTACGCATTTTTTAAACGCTTCAAATTCTTTAATGCACAAATCTTTATTTACACAATCAAGGTTGCTTGTTATACATTTTGCATATAATGTAGCCTAATTATTATTAATTTTTTTATTAATTAGGTTAATCAAATCCAAAAATTTATTAACTTTTAAAATTTACAAAGAATAAACATTTACTTGCGCAGAACATTGCGCGACCCCCTTTGCAAGTAACGTAACATATTGATTTTTTTTCGTGCTTGACATACTTTATCGAAATTAGACAATGGAGAACAGTGAAATCAGTAATATGTAATACACCCCCAATTTTTATAATGAACGTAACAAACCAATTTAATTCTTCCAATGTTTGTATGTATGTATGTTAAACGGTACAACGTACGTACGTACGTACGCACGCACGCAATATGAAATCTTATGAAATCAGTATCAGTGTGACTTGACATTCTGGTTTTGTGTTTGAGCTACCCTTAAAATACCTAGTCCCACTTAATAACTTAATCTGCATATCGAGATAAGATATTTTTTTAATCCATCGGTTTTTCAAAAAAAAAAAATTAAACTATCTTTCGTCTAACAATTTTTAAGATAAAATGTTAGTACCACTTGTAGACATTTCAAACCAACAATTATCAGTAGATTTTATCAAGTCTCTTGATTTAATTGGAGAAATTATTCTTCGTATTCCTGATTTTAGTGATACATCTTTGCTAACACAATTTCTTGAAAGACATCAATTAGATAAATATTGGTTGTTTTCAGTAAAAGAAATAGTACCTGATGATATTGAAAATATCATTCAATTTCTTGATCAAGGTGCTCAAAAAGTAATTATTCCGGTTTCAAAAATTTTGACAAATGATTATACTTCTGCTTTACCAGCAGATAGATTAGCTGTTTGTGTAAATTCACGCGATTTATGTGATGAAGAATTGATTAAAAAATTAGCAGGACTAGTTTCTGGATATTTTGTTACTGATGTTGATTTGAAATCTATTTCTGGAAATTTTTTTCAAGATTTGAATAATTTTATACAAAATGTACAAAAAAATACTATTTTATCTGGTTCAATAGCAAAAGTCGGCATTGTTTTACAAGAAACAAATAATATAAAATATTCATCGGATTTGGTTCAACAATTATCGACAATTTCTGCTGATTTAGTAGTTCCTATTAAATATCTTACGTTGGATTCAGATAATAATCTGTTAAACGTAGCGGACGCTTTAACATGTACATTAAAATCTGATCGTCCTGATGGTTTGTTTATAACTGTTGTGGTGGATGAGAGAGGTGTGGCATTAGGGGTTGTATATTCATCTACAGAAAGCGTTAGAGAAGCACTCAAAACTAGAACGGGTGTATATCAAAGCAGAAAACGTGGTTTATGGCATAAAGGTGCTACATCAGGATCTGTTCAAGAATTAAAAAAAATTGAGGTGGATTGTGATGGTGATACTTTGAAGTTTACAGCTAAACAGTTTGGAACTGGTATGTTAATTTGATATAAAAGATATTATATTTTTTTATTCTGGTTATTTAGACTTTTATTTTTTCTTAGGCTTTTGTCACTTGAATACTCGTACATGCTTTGGTGAAAGCAAAGGTCTTATTGCACTTGAAGAAACACTTCAAAATCGAAAAATATCCGCACCTTCTGGATCATACACACAACGATTATTTCAGAACCCAGATTTACTTCACTCAAAAATCATGGAAGAGGCAGATGAATTGTGTTCCGCTGCTACCAAAGATAACATTGCTTGGGAGACTGCAGATTTATTATATTTTGCCCTTGTTAAATGTGTTGCAAACGATGTTTCGCTAACTGATGTTGAAGCGCATTTGGATAAACGTGCAAAGAAAATAACTCGGCGACCTGGTAATGCAAAACCTCAATGGGATATTTCCTCTAAAAAAACAACGGAAACTGACAACAATGCAAAAGAATGTAAATCAGATACTATTAAAATGCAAAAATTCAAATTATCTGAAATTGATTCGATAAAAAGGATATCACTTCTCAAACGACCTATCATCAATTCTGATGATATTATGGCACGAGTGCGTCCGATTGTCAATGATGTACGCAATAAAGGTGATGCAGCCATTATTGAATACACAGCAAAGTTTGATAAAGTTCAACTTAATACGCCCGTCATTTCTGCGCCTTTTCCACCAGAAGCGATGGCGCTCGATGACGTCACGCGTTGTGCGATTGATAAAGCTTATGAAAATATTTACAAATTTCATGATGCGCAATATGACCGTTCAACATTAATTGTTGAAACAATGCCTGGTGTAGTTTGTTCACGATTTAGTCGACCTATTGAACGTGTTGGACTTTACGTTCCGGGTGGTACTGCGGTCCTACCATCAACAGCCCTTATGTTAGGCATACCAGCTAAAGTAGCAGGATGTAAAGAAATAATTATTGCAAGCCCGCCACGAAAGGATGGAACCGTTGTACCCGAAGTGCTATATGTAGCACATAAAGTTGGTGCATCTAAAGTTTTGTTGGCAGGCGGTGCTCAAGCAATCGCAGCGCTTGCATATGGAACCGAGTCAGTACCTAAAGTAGACAAAATATGTGGTCCTGGAAATCAATACGTTACCGCTGCAAAAATGTTGGCACAAGTAAATAAAAAATTTCTTTAACATTTTATAATTAATTGTTGATAGTTGATTGTTGATATAAATCCAATTCATCACCTATTCTAACTATTTTAAGAACGATAGTTCTGCGATGATTTCCATTGATATGCCCGCAGGGCCTTCTGAAATTTTAGTTATCGCAGATAACTCAAGTATTCCCAAGTATGTGGCATCTGACCTTTTGTCACAAGCAGAACATGGGACAGATTCACAGGTAGTATTGGTCAGTGTTTCTCTAACACCTGAACATCTTGCAAACATTGAACGTGAAATTCATGAACAAGCAAGTCGTCTTCCAAGAGTAGATATTGTTCGTGAATCAATATCCAAAAGTTTTATCTTGCAAGTAAATAATATAAAAGAAGCAATAGAATTTTCAAATGACTATTCACCCGAGCATTTAATACTACATATTGATGAAGCCGAAAAATGGGTAGATGCCATTAAAAATGCAGGCAGCGTTTTTGTTGGGGCTTATTCACCAGAAAGGTATCTTTTATTTGACAATAATATTACTTGGACTTTTCTTTTTCTTTTTAGGATTTAACATACATTGCCTTTTTTAGTTGCGGGGATTATGCCTCCGGTACCAATCATACTCTTCCCACATACGGTTACGCGCGAATGTATTCTGGCGTTAACACACTTACGTTCCTAAAACATATCACAGCACAAAAATTAACCAAACAAGGATTAAAAGATTTAGGACATACAGTTATGAGATTAGCTGAAATTGAAGGGTTAGAAGCTCATAGAAATGCGGTTCATGTTAGAATTCATGATATTGAAAATGATTGATTGAAATTGATTGATTGAAAATGATTGATTGAAAGTGATTGTTCGAAAGTGATTGTCATTTATTGAAATTGATTGAAATTGATTGAAATTGATTGAAAGCGATTGAAAGCGATTGAAATTGATTGAAAATGATTGAAAATGATTGAAAATGATTGAAAATGATTAAGTGCGGAAAATTTCATTATAGGATTACAAGATTTTCTTTATGCATATTAATGCCATTATTTTTTCCGTATTTGTTCAATAAAAAAGTTAGGATCTCTCGCAGTATAGGTGACACCATTATAAAATGTATTATTAATCAATTGATTTAAAATAGGTGTCACTTACTTATACTGTGAGAGATCCAAAAGTTATTCTGTGAATAAAAGAATTGGTTATTAGTCAAATAAAACCTACGTAATAAAAATTGATACATACGTACGTACGGACGTACGTACATATTAATATAAAGAATCATATTAGTCTAATAAAAATTAGTATTAGTTTAACTTGCTCAATTTGTTTGCAACGCAATAATTAGACCCTTATGTGATGATCTGCAAAATCTTTGTTATTATATGACACAGTGATCCGTAATGCAAAAAACACCACATAATTTATATAATTTATGTATGTACGTGCGCATAGGTACAATTTAACATATAACAGACGGACGTACGTTCGAACGTACGTTCGAACGAACTTTAAACGATCCCTTTAATATATCATAAACTTACAGTGAGAGTATATCTTTGCTTATGTTAAATGAAGACAATGTTTACGAGATTTTGCAACATCTCGAAAAAGATACATCTACTCTATACAATTGCCTTTTCGTGAGTAGACAATGGTGCAGCATTGCCGTTTCTCTTCTCTGGCGTAGACCCTTTACAGAATATGTTGTACCCTTTAATGATGATACTGTAGAAACTCGAGCGAAAATCACATGTTCACTAATAATTAGAACTTACATATCATGCTTTAATTATGAAGAACTTGAAAAGTTGGTTCAACAAGGTATCGAATTTCGATCATATCAAGAACCACTTTTCTCTTATGCAAAGTATCTTCAAGAACTCTCGGATGTTGCATTAACAAAATCTGTTAGATTTTACGCAATGTATCAAGCGCACCAATTCTCATTTCAAAGTTCATATAATCCAATAATAGATGCATTATGGCATATGTTCATGCGTCAATGCACAAAGATAATTTCACTATCAATAACAATTTTGTCCCCCACAAATTCACCAACTGGAATCGTGAATGTAAGCAACTTCATGGATGCAAAATTTGCTCTATCTCACTTGCAAAATTTTTCCTTTGTAATCTCTAATAAGAATGAAAAGGATTGTTTGAAAATTCAAGAACTTTTAAATAAATTACCTTTGGTATGCAGCAAAATCAAGCGAATGGAATATGTGTCTCATGGAAGAGTAGATCCTAATATTACAAATATTTCCGATATTATGACAAAAATAATTGAAACCCAACTTGGTATAAAAGAGTTCATATTTAAACAAAATTTAGATTATTATTCAGCAAATTTTATAAATGTTCCTATGCAAGCTCTTAAATCTCAAGTAAATTGGTTAACTTCTCTAATGTTTGACTACGTACATTTTGACTTTATTTCGGTATCAATTTTGGCTAGTATGACAAATTTGGATTCATTACAATTAAAAAAGTGCAAATGGAAAAGAACAGATCGGTTAAAAATAGTTAAAGCATTATCAAGGTCAACTTTTCATCTCAAGTTCTTGTCAGTTTTAGAAGATTCATGGCCAAATGTCATAATTCCTACAATTCTTGAGAGAGCTGGTGATACTTTAAAACATTTAGTATTCGATCATGTTTCAATCTATGTAATTCAAATTGCCATGGAACACTGTTTAAACATTAACATTTTATATATTCAAATTGGAGTAGAAGATTTTGATTATATTTTCCCTTGGATCAAAATGTTAAAATTAGAAAAATTCGATTTAAAATTTTTATTAACTGGAAGAGGTCGTAGAATAACTTTATCTCCAGAGGAAACTTCAAAAGTTTTGCAACATTTAGGACAATCCATATCTTTAACTCTTACACACTTACGATTAGATGGTCTTAAAATTACAAGGAAATCATTTGAACAATTTTTAAAAAATTGTCATGCTCCATTACATACTTTAATCATTCGAAATATATTCTTTGAGGATTTTGAAGATTGTGTTCCTGCGATTATCAATTTTGCTGATACTCATAAAACTTTAAAATTATACGGTGATAATACTACTGCTATATCAACTAATAAGAAATTGGTTGAAAAAAT